TTTATGTCGGTCTCGTACTTCACGCCCATCATCCTAGCGCATGATAATTATTAGAAACCGGAAAAATATGTACGAGTAGTATGAAACGTCAAAATATGCACATAAATATGTAATAAAACGGTAAACGGTTTATGCAATATGCTATAAAACGGAATATGTAACAAATATGTAAAATCGAATATAATATGTAATATTTAAATGCACCAATTATAAGTCAAAATTATATAATACAAAATTACAATAAAATAATTTCCTAAACAATTTTTAAAAATAATACAAAAGTATTAAAAATAATTTGGAAACACAAGTTGATGTACACGTTGCACCATACAACTTTCCCGTCAGTAGTAAAAACTTCAGCTTTTAGTATCTACCGGAAAAAAAGAACCGTTGGAGTATAACAGATCCATGATACTGTAACAGGGAAACTTCTTACAGTATCATGGATCTGGTATACTCCAACGGTTCTTGTTTTCTCTGTCGACCGTTGTTTTGCAGCCAAACGAAACGCAATAGCAAACGCATCATACGAACTGTCGATATCTACATCCAGCAAACAATTACTGCAGCGTGCAAGCATACTCATTGAAGTGTTACAAATCGGCGATCGCCAATGTTTCTCCGAAATTAACGTTAAAAGTCACAAATCGCCACGTCGGTGAGACTTTTCACACCTAAAGGTGAAAATGATCTCATTCGCTGACGCATACTTCCCACCGTTGAGATAAGTGAAGCAGGCGCGCCGGTCTGTGATAGCATCAGGCGTCTTCACTTAGCGTATCCCGATTCGACAACACGCGGTGATAATGTGGGAAAAATGTTGATCTTTTGAATACTTCTTTTCATAAAAAATACGCAATAAACTTGAAGAAAATTGATAGAATGAAAAACATTTTGAGAAAATATCAAAATATGTAAAATATGTAACGAAGAAAGTGGGTATTGTGTTTGGATGGCAACGATTCGAAGATTACAAATTTGAGAAAGGTAAGTAGAAAGACAAAAAATATGTAATTACACAAAAATTCGGTCTCTACTCCCTCCCTCACGTTCTAGAGAGAAGGGTGCGGAAGATCAGAGATTTGTCGGACACGGAAAAGGCTGTAATATGCTTAAAAGAGGTTCGAAAAAGAAGCGCAAACCTCATGCAATCCAACTCAATAACCAATCCAACCAACCCAATCCAACTCAACATATTTGCAGCGTGTCTTTAAAAAAGGTTCTATAACTAAAACGTCAATGTGGCGAATATTTAAAGAAAAAATATTCAATATCTAATGCATTTAACCGACATAGCCTTTTGACTGGATTGATGAATTTTATTCTTTAAAAGATTAATACTGACTTCTGGAACACGGGATTCAGGGCATCTTATAAAAATTAATACCACAGGTTCATTGTGATATTGTTTAGACCTAACCTATTTTTTCTCTCCACAGAACGTTGAAAATCTCTCGGGTGTCTGTCTTTAGATCTCTCGATAAACAGACGTATACGACTTTAAATACAAACTATTATACGTTTACAAACTATGTGTGACGGACAGTAAGGGAGAACTATGTGAACGATTATTGAGATGCACATTATTCTGTTATGTCATTTGTGTACTTTACTTCAAATACACGGGGTATGCCCTGAACGTTTCCACCGATCGACGTATTTATGTAGCGTCCGTTTCCGTTGACGAGATGCAATACGGCCTGGCGGCGCCGCGTGGCGTGGAGGAGAGCGACTCGCCTGACGGAGAAGGCGCGCCACCGCCAGTAGCCGAGCAGCTCGGGCGAGTGCACCCGCGCCACCACCTCCCGCGGCTGCCCCGCGCCCAGCTGCACGCTCACCCACGTCTCGTTGTGGTCGTCCAGCATCACCTGCCCCAACACACCACGTGGCCCGCGGACACGTCCTTACGCACTGCGGCGTCTATCAACGAGAGGTCCTGCAGTGGAGTTTCTGCAGTTGAGCCATGAAGCTACGTCGGATTCAGGCGCTGTCTGGAGGGGAATTCTAGCGTCGGACACTTCCGATTGGTAGTTATCCTTGGTTTCTCATTTCCAGGCGAATCAGTAATCTAACAAACTAGCCATGGACCATGCGCGGTCTTTCCTTCCTCCTCCTTGTCCTATCCTCTCCCCAGAATCTCACACAGAATTTCATGTACAATGCTGCCACACATATAGGGAGGGCAATCGAATGTTTGAAGCTCGTCTTGGATGGGCGGTGACCCACTGGTGGAGATACTAGGAGGAACAGATCGCAAGGTGAAGGGTAGGAACACTGGTATCCCTCGTGCACTACACTTACGGACTAAGAACAGTCAGCAGCTGAACGTCCGGATACGAAATAATCAATCGAAATCACATCCGATACATACATTTTTCATAAATATTTTTTGTATCATATTTCTAGTTAATAATTGCCATATATATCGGACATTGTATTAGTTTATTCATAAATATCAGTATTTTACTTTCTATTAATCGCTCTATTAATATTTTCAAAAAATGCTTCGATTTATTGCACTATGTTATTACGGCAACTCATATTATTAGGGCAATAACACCAGAAGTGGCCCATTTAAGTGTAGTGGTGGTAAATCAAAAGTTACGCCAACAACCCCTCACGCCATCGGCAGCACCACGAACAGTGCGGGAGCGGAGTCAGAGACGTCTGGACGGTGCGATTATGACATGTACACTGGGGGACTATTGAGATGCTTTGACCCCTCCCGTGATATTCTCCTGGTATATTGTTACGACCCATGCTATGCATTTGGCACTACTGGATTATAGCAACCTCGCTACGAAAGGTTACATCTCCTTGTGATGTAAAACCTGGCTGTTCTAATAGGACTTCGTATTTTTTTTCTTCCGGTGACATTTTCTAGCTTGAAGGGATGCCGATTTTCGAGTATCTGCGGGTACTCAGTATGTCCCTCATGAGGTTACATTTTAACCTTTACCACTGACACAATTGCGAGATTCTCGGTCTGCGGTCAGCAGAGTGACAAGGCCTTCCACGATAATACATACCTGAAATGTCAAGGGATAATGTACAACGCCCTCGGCGGGACTCGAACCCGCGACCCTTCCGACCGGGGGACTGACGACCATCCAGGTCGACGGAACGACTTTGGATTTTTTGATTGTAATAAACGCATCTGCGGTACACGAAGTCCCTTTCCCTTTTCCTGGTCACAGCATTAATTTCAAAGAATATAGGACTGACGATTGGATGGACGCTCACCCAGGCGTTGGGGACGGGCGCGAGGGGCGAGGCGCGCAGCTCGACGCAGGCGGAGCGCGGCGCGCGCACGTGGAACGCCAGCTGGGCGCCGGCCGCCGCCTCGCGCAGCGCCGCCCACCGCTCGAACGTCAGCCGCGCCGTCGCGTGCACCGCGCACGCTGCCGCAACGCACCGCACAAGCAGCGAGTGGAGTCACGTCGCTTACTCGGCCGCTCGCGCGAACGGAAGAAAGAGAATTTGTCATCAACTGCTGACTCCGAATGGAATCGAATCGCATCGAATCGAATCGAATCGAATCGAATCGAATAGAATTTATGCCTCATTTTACGTGGCAGAATCAGACCATGAGGCCTGCTCTTCCGTCTGACCACAGAAATTTCGCTACGTCCCTTTCACCAACTAGCAGAGAAAGGAGGTACTTCTTGGGCGAGAAACAGGCGATTTCAATTTAGCTCAGAGACGTCATTTAGGCTTGAGGATCTTTTACATGCAAGTAAATCTACTAACATGGGACAGCCGGCTTTACTTCCCCTCCGAAGGAAGGCGTTCGAAGGATTTTTTCGCCCTTAAAAATCCACGGCTTCGATCGGGTTTGAACCCGACTCTATGATGCAACATCAGATTTGGACAATTAATATAATAGGTATATTGAATGTATGTGTTTGGCACTTTGGGGCGGGTTAACCCAACTTTTATATAGCATCGGCTTTCCTCGCTGGAGTCCTCACCCTGGCCCTTTGGCCAACCACACTGGCCCTTTAACGCCCACAGGACCACGGCCAACCAGCCCGGAAACTATATCTGATATATAACTAGACGTTTCCGGGTTTGTAGGCCCTGGTCAAACGGAGACTGGTCCATACATTTCGCCTGCAACTGTAGCGTTGCTGGCGGAGGCGAAGTGTTCTTCTTGGCAGCACCACGTTGACTGACCTCTCTCGACTTTTACCAACTAGTAGTGTTTGCACCCCGGGACTATTTTTGTTTATTATACAGGACTAAGGTTAAGGGAGACATGCGGCGAGTTTGGCACATTCATTTTACCTTCGTATCTGGCATACTTAGTCGGCCTGAGTTTTTCTTTCGTCACACAGCTATGGAAACTGAGATGACAGAAATGGAAAGCTGCAGCTCTATTACTGCCCGAATGGGAATAGTTCCAGATATCGCACCACGGAAAGCCATCAGGCTGTACAAGAGGAATATACATATTTAATAATAAAATAATTAGAAGAATTATAATTACAGTTCGGTGTTGATGGGTACCTCGAATCAAACAAATGCGAATTAACAGGATGAGGTCTTATGTGATTTTTGAGCATACTATGCCGCCACGTAACTACTTCCATTCATTACAAAACGTTGCGCAAAAGCTCCTTTTACTCTTTGTAAGCTATTGATCACGCTATTTTTCTAATGAAGTTTTGTGCGAATCTATAAAAAAAACTTTACCCTTTGAAAAAGAGCTGCCACCTTAAGAGAATCAATACTTTGAACACATGGTATTGCGCACAAATATAACACTCAACTTGTATTCAATTCACAAGAAACTAAAATGTTCAAAACAAATTTCACTACAATTTTAACGTTAATAACATTGTATCCTATGATGTTTGTAAAAATTAGGTTTTCAACAATTTGTTCATTACGAGATAATTATCTTTGAAAGAAATCTATATTTCTTTTGAAGAGAGATGATTTCGCTATTTTTCACAAAAACTATTGGCCATTTTCAAAGAAAGTTCAGCAAATTTTGAGTCAAGAGGAAGGATATCAGTACAACGTTCATCCCAGCCACAAATACTGTCGGATGTTGCAGTGTCTTATTTGGAGAGTTGAATTCAAACCTCTCCGAAGGCATGCTGCTTCCGCCGCAATGCAAACCAATTTAAACAATTGTAGAGATGCTATGCTTTGCAATGTAAAATTAATACCTAGGAAAAATATACTAGTATTATCTGTTATTTGGTATAAAAAATTAAAGCGATTCGATACTATAATACAATAAAGCATACAAGCAGAAAAGTAGCGTCAATAGAAGTTCCGACAAAGTCATTTAGGAATGAGGGGCGATGTTTACGAAATTGGGACAGGTGGCAACCCTCCTTTAAACGACAGCCGCTGGCAAGTGAAATACGTACACGCAAATTCGGGTTGAATATTTCGCCTTTGCTCGGCTAGAAGTTTTGAATAACTTTTACACAGCGATTTCGGGAACCGATTCTTGTTGTACATTACAGAACGATTGGGATTCGTGTGCACCATGCCTTTGTGGCGTAATAAACTTACACGCAAACTGATTAGAGTGTGCCACAGTTATGAGGACTTAAAAGTATATTAAATTTTGTACACAAAGCGTCTTTTTTCCAAGAAATTAATATAATTTAATAATTTTCAAATACTATTTCTTTTTGGCGCCTCCACACTGATGCGAAGACGTCATTTTATTGATATTGCCTCATTAGACACTATAATACTAGTTTATTTTTGTAGAGATAATGCTGAAAGTTATATGTGAATTCGAGACGCACATTCCGAAAATTATACTTCGCAATGGCAATAAGTACATTCGTGTCACCATACGATTTTAAGTTCTCTATGAAATCAGCTATTGACCTGAGACGTTACATCCAAGGGCATATCATAACATTTTCGATTTGTGATACGTATGTTAGGAGATGATGCTGAAAGGAAGAAGAAGAAGAAGAAAATAATGAATTTCATCCACGTATATCTTGCAAAATATGCTACAGACCATTATTTCGAAAATACATTTTCACTGTTACATTGCTAAAAATCGTAAATATATACTTACAAATCAAATAAATTTAAAAAATTATTAACCTAAAAACTATTTTTTCTAGAAAATATATTTACGTTGCAAATTAGGTTCGGCTAATTTCGGGACAGTACATTCCTATTGGATAAATTTATTTATTAACGTGGGTAATTTTGAGATGTTACTTTGAGTTTGTTTACCCCACTCGCTTTCTTTTTGGATTACAAGGGTTGTAATAGCATCAAACAAGCGCCGGAAACGCTGACATTAATGTTTGATGGCAGAACATATTACATCATCGGTACAACTGTTCGCCGAAAAAAAATTACAAGCGGAAGACATTAGATCTAACAAAGAATAACGAATGGCACCAACGAAAACTAATAAAAGATCTAATTGTTCTCCTTTCTGAGAGATGCCCGACTTATCGAAAGGATCATGAAAATTATTTCAAGTATATTAGAAACCAACAAAATTAATTATAATAGAAAAAATAGTACTATCATTGACGGTATATTATTTGTATCAAAGAATAAATGTTCACTTTCACCATATTTCAACGAAGCTATGAAGACATACGAATCAAAATTCTCGTATTAGAGATTTAATACTGGAAGATTAAGACACCCGTTGTGTCGTGGTCATAGTGCAACGCGGCCATCCTTTTCAAAAACGCAAGGTATATCTCTTATTACCTGCAAGAGGCTACAGTGACCTAAACGTGACACTCCATAGTTAGCGACCGACGTCACTTCCGCTCGCAGCCCATTCTGCGTCGCCACATCGCCCATTTGGTCCCCGCGCACGTCCCCGCCGGGCATCAGAATTCCCCGCCAGCGCAGTGGCGCGCTCTGGTCGCGGGCGCCGTAACCACACGCCGCGCGCCACCGGCCGAGGGGCTGCCTCTAGGTTGGGCGGGCACCGCTCCCTCCTTACGTGCTCCACTTACAAAACTTCATCGCTTTCAAGACTTTCCCTTGTTTTCCAATATATGCAGCGAAATCTGCGATCCATTTGCTTATTGAAAGGCAGATATCCTTCATACTGGTTAGTAGTATTTCCAATTTATATTTTCATATTCTTTCATGCAAAAAGTCCATAATTTAAGCTACTTGGGCTTAAACAAGAGCGTTGAAGTTTCGTTTACTGCGGTTTCGATTTCTCTCATCATGAGTGTCATCGTGAATAATAAAGTCAAATTTATCGTATTGTCACATTGATCACTTTGCTATTATTTTGCGATGTATCATAGGCAAGGTAGTGAACGGCATAGCTACTGACCCTATTCTGCCATAAAATTAGTTACGTTTCTTTCTAGATTCTTTTTCTCAAAATGTGACGTGGTTGAACTATCGTCACTATCACGGCAAGAAGAAATCTGTGGCAGTAACAGATTTTTTTTCAGCCTTAAGAAATTATGGTGATATTATCTATTGCAAACAAGACTTATCAGAGAGAAGGGAAGGAAAATAAATTGAAACAGAGACAAGGAGAGGGAGGGAGAGAGACAAACGAAATAAAGTGGGACGGAAAGGGTGAGAGAGAGAGAGAGAGAATGAAGGACGGAAATACCATGAAATACAGAGAGACCGTGAGTTAGCAAGGAAAGACAATAGATAGAGACAGAGAAATGAAGAGAGACCGACAGGTATGTAGATGACACAGAGCCCGAAAGTTCATTAGTACGAAAGGAAATCAGCCTTTTCGCCATCCGCGTTGAAATACCACAATTTGAATTCCCCCGCTGAGGGATGCGCCTTCCACGAATCACAATCAGTTTCTTTAGACTCATCCTAAGAACCTCAGAAACATCCCTCCCTAGTCCTATCTCGGCTTCAGTGGCCAACTCGGACTGCGCACCGCGCTCTGCTGTTGGTTCCTGACGCGAGCGTTCGTTTCGCTCAGCGTTCCATGGACAACCACGCGTTGACCACCCTTGCCATCTGCACTCTATGCGTGCGTGCGTGCGTGCGTGCGTGCATGCATGATCATCTGTGTAACTGTTGGTGTTATGAACACCAAGGTTTCATCATCGGATCAGGTACTTTTACTAATAGTGTAATGTAAGTAAATGCTGCTAAATTACCCGTCGCCTACACGAGTTGTGGTGTGACACACGAGTGGTAACGTCAATAACAAAGTGTCTGAAAGTCTACGAAAAGGGACATCAACAAGTCAAACATTAACCAGAAATGAATTGCATTTACAAATTGTTTGTATGTACAAGGTGACCTTGAACATCTGTGTTAGTTGGTACACTCCACTGAAACTTCAAGTAGCTTCGAACGTTCAACTGCACTTCTTCGATTTATAGCCACCAGCACCAGAACCAGTATTTGCGTATGAAACTCATTAGACTGCGAGACCATCTCGCAAATCGTGGCCAGGTCAACACAATTTGTTACTAGCAAAAACGTTACTGTCATGACTAGTGAATGTGTGCACATAGTGAATGATTATCACAAACCGAATCGAAAATCGTTTGTACGCATTTTCATATCAGTAAATTTCAACGAGTATATTTTCCTTAAATCAGAATTTGTTTGTCATTATTTCTTTTTTGTATGACTTCTATAATTGTCGAGAAATCTACCTTTCAAAAAGGTTGATTTTTAAATACATAGTCTTTCCTCTAAACAATCATTACTTCTTATGTGCATTTGTTGTAGAATATATTGATTGACAGTTAACTAATTATGGAGTTCTTCTGGTCGGTCCTCTGGGATTATAAAACTCTGGTCTGACTCTCCCCAAACCAATTCATTTTGCTCCATTAGCAACTTAATCATCGCTCCCCAACAACCAGAGTTAAGTGCAGATAGACGTACGTGTGGAGACAGAGCGAGAGACAGACAGACAGAGCGAGAGAGAGAGAGAGGGAGACAGACAGAGAGCGAGAGAGAGGAAGACACAGAGAGCGAGAGAGAGGAAGACAGACAGAGAGCGAGAGAGAGGGAGACAGACAGAGAGCGAGAGAGAGGGAGACAGACAGAGAGCGAGAGAGAGGGAGAGAGACAGAGAGCGAGAGAGAGGGAGAGAGAGGGAGAGAGACAGAGAGCGAGAGAGACAGAGAGCGAGAGAGAGGAAGACAGACAGAGAGCGAGAGAGAGGGAGAGAGAGAGCGAGAGAGACAGAGAGCGAGAGAGAGGGAGAGAGACAGAGAGCGAGAGAGAGGGAGAGAGACAGAGAGCGAGAGAGAGACCGACAGAGAGCGAGAGAGAGACCGACAGAGAGCGAGAGAGAACAGAGCGAGAGGCAGACAGGACAGAAGCGAGAGAGAGGAGGAACAGCAGAGCGAGAAGAGGAAAGACAGGGCAGAGCAGAGGAAGGACCAGAAAGAGAGCGAAGAGACACGAGAGCGCAGAGAGAGCGAGGAGAGACAGAGACGAGAGAGAGCGAGGAGAGGGACAGAAGAGCGAGGAGAGAGCGAAAGAAGAGGGAACAAGAGACGAGATGAGAGCGAGGAAGAGACAGAGAGCGAGAGAGAGAGAGACAGAAGACGAGAAGAGACAGAGAGAGACAGAGAGGAGTAGGAGAGCGAGAGGAGACAGAGAACGGAGAGAGAGCGAGACAACAGAGCAGCGAGAGAAGAGACCGACAGAGAGGCGCAGAGAGAGGGGACCGCACAGAGAGCGAGAGAGGACGACGAGAGCGAGAGAGAGACGACAGAGACGAGAGAAAGACCGCACAGAGAGCGAGAGAGAGACCGACAGAGAGCGAGAGAAGACCGACAGGAGGCGAAGAGAGACGACAGAGAACGAGAGAAGGACCCCGACAGAGAGCGAGAGAGAACGTACAGAGAGCAGAGAGAGGACCGACAGAGAGCGAACGAGAGACCACAGAGCAGCGAGAGAGAGAAACCGACAGAGCAGAAGCTGAGAGAGAGACCGACAGAGAGCGAGAGAGAGACGACAGAGAGCGAGAGAGAGGACGACAGAGGCGAGAGAGAGGACCGACAGAGAGCGAGAGAGAGGACCGACACGAGAGCGAAGAGCAAGGACCGACAGAGAGCGAGAGCCAGAGACGACAGAGAGCGAGATGGATAGACACAGAGAGCGACGAGAGAGACCGACAGAGAGCGAGAGAGAGACGACAGAGAGCGAAGAGAGAGACCGACAGAAGCGAGAGAAGAGACGACAGAGAAGCGAGGAGAGACCGACAGAAGCGAAGAAGAGACCGACAGAAAGCGAGAGAGGACCGGACAGAGAGCGAGAGAGGACCGACACAAGAAGCCGAGAGAGAGGACCGACAGAGAGCGAGAGAGAACGACAGAAGAGCAGAGAGAGACCGACCCAGAAGCGAGAGAGAGACCGACAGAGAGCAAGAAGACGGCAAGAGCTAGAGAGAGCACCGACAGGAGCATATGGGAACTAGAAACGCCCATCTCACCTGCGCGCGTCCACTAAAATCGGCAGATCGTCCTTCCAAAAACCGACCTGTAAAATCTGCCGAGGAGAGCGAGCGAGAGAGACGAGGCGTACCCTCGTGCACCTGGGAAGTCCACCTAGACGGCCGGCGGCGCCCACAGGGCGACGGGCGCCGCGGAGGGCGGAGCGGCAGCGGTAGGCGGGCGGCGCAGGGCGAGGGCGAGCGAGAATGAAGCGGCGCGCGAGGCGGGCTTTCAGCAGCGGGGCGGTCCCCGGCGCGGCCAGCGCCGCCCGCCCGGGCCGCCGCGCCCACCCAACAGCGCGTCACGCAGCCCGACAGCAGACCGGGGGTCTCGCGTTTCGGTTCGCGTCCTGCCAACAACACCCAAACGCGGCCTTCCACTTCCATCCGCACTGCGTCTGATAACTGCTAAGGCCATTAGTCCCGTGGTGTAGGTAATTTTTGTGTAGGGTATATTATTTATGTACGGCGGGATCTTCCCACGCAGGATGCAATATTCCCGCATGATCCACCACGTCGCCAGCCCAGGGGATTTTTTCCTGCACAATTGTATACTCCCCTCGCCAAGCACCGCCCCACCCCTACACGCTCTAAGCTAATGAGCGGTCTTCGATGTGATGGGGCAGTAGCATGTGCAGTTAGGGTGTATAGGGTAGAGGATAGGCAAGGAAAGAGTAGGAAAGATCGCGCCGGTCCGGGCCCGTGTTAGGGTACTGCTCCGGCATTCGCCTGTGTTAACGAAGGAGGAACCACGGAAAAACTTACATCAGAACAACGATCCGTGATTTGGTCTCCGGTGAATTCGATCTACCTATGTAGCTAAATCAAAAAAC